GGTGTTATAAGCAGATTACAATCAGTTATGTCTGCAATACAGTAAGTTTTAATTTGTTACTATGTGGAAATAAGGACAGTGAAATAGGGCTGGGATTTTTACTTCGTTTGAAAGTCGAAATATTAACGACTGATTTATTGTTTGGATTGTTTCCCAAGAAAAAAGCAATATCCTATTAAATGAAGGTGTTAATTTTATTAACTGGTGTTTTATTTTTCAGGGGTTGTGGCGGCTGTCGACCAGCGCCGTGTTGTCCGTGCAGGCCCTGTTGCGGCGGTGGATCCCTCGTCACAGTTTACAGTCAAGTAGCACATATCCAGTGACCAGTGCCGCACCAACGCACTCGCGATCACTAAGTCACATAACTTTCATACCAAATTATAGCTTCACTTTCAATATTGGCAGCCCTAAAATTGAGAAGATTTTTTTAGCCGTCGCTCGTATTACCTGGTGGTAAATAATTGGCGCCGCCCATGGACTCTCGCAATACCAATGGATTTAGTACAAGCACGTCGCCGGCCTCTTGTGGGATATTCGGGATTTAAAGTTTTGAGGATGGGAGAATAGTTACCGGTAACCTCAGGGCTGCTTCATGCCGTGTTATCACTCCAGTCGAGCCGGCCTATTCGTGCCGAAGTATGGCACTTCCACACTTAATTTCATTTCCATTCGCTTAATATAATGAATCAAATTGTATGTTATGATCTGTCTGTTTCCGAAAATCCACCCAAATGTTGCACAATTATTGAGAAATGAACCTCGATATTATAAGTTTATCCAAAAAGTTTAGCAAATAAAAAACGCCATTTTACACGAAGCAAGTTATATCTACTATATATCTTAAAACTAATATCTAATATCTGATTTATTTATGGTATAATCTTAACGTGTTTTAAATTTATTGAATTAATGTTCCTGTTCAAGAAAATATATCCTATAAATGAGCCATCAGCACCTTGGTCAAACACATTGACTTTGTTTTATATTTACAGATGCCGTGTTAGCGCTGGGCCAGCCGCCAAGACCGATCGCAGCATTCGACAAAGCAGTCATTGAAATTGGTCATCATTAAATACTGGCTGAATTAGGAATTGACTTAGTCTTTTCGTCTGGTGAAAGTTCTGTACCGTCACGTACCATAAAGTGGTTGTATTACGTAAAAGTGTGAATAAAAATTGTTATATTAATAGGCGTTTTTCTGTTTTTGTATTATTATAATCCTTAACCTAATATGCTAATATCTTTGACGTATCGATCTCGCCACATTACGGCGATGTAGGTACCCTATAAGTGAACCTTAACCTTACCAGCTCTAGCAGTGTCCTATAGTCTCGAAAGAATACAAATACAGAGGTGCAAAGGTATTGTGTGCATCACACTAAAGGTAGTGTAACGTTTGGGTCTGTGGTAGGTAGTTGTAGAAAAAAATAAGAAAATAATTACTAGTTCAATTATTATAATATATTAAGGAAAAGGATCGGCAGACCTGGGTTGTGAATTTAAAATATCGAGCGCGCGTTAGGCTCCTGCCCGCCCATATAAACACCACTATCCTGGGTAGTCAGGCAGCTCGGCAGCGGCAGGCGGGTAGGTGTACAGCGCGCAAGCAGGCGCCGGAAGCGCAGATAGATGAGGCACGTAGGTAGTCACAGGCACGCAGGTAGGCACAGGCACGCAGGTAGGTGCACGTTTGGTAGGTTCGTTTAATCGATTTTTACGCTTACACGTTTACCTACATCATTGTCCTACAAAACACGGTAATGTCACTAACATTTTTTTAGGGTTCCGTAGCCAAAAAGTAAAAACGATTAACCTATCACTAAGACGCAGCTGCCTGTCCCGTCGACACTGCGCAATAGTGAAATACAGCCTGGTTCTATATTATTATAGTGCTAACTGGAAAATTACTTGGCAGTTAAAAGATGATGTATGGTGAAACGGGGTGGTAGAATATGTAGATACCTACTTGGAAAATTTGCCAACATCTATTCACCCCTTTTGTGGTATTGCCACTAAGGACACAAATGCTAAAAACGAAATGAAATACGTACGTTAAGTACCTATAGATAACGGGGGCGCTCATACAACAAACGTGATTTTTTTACAGAACCATTCGTGCGCAGCGCAAGTCCAACTCGCACTTTAAACTTCTTGCATTATTTGCCTGTATACTAGGAAGGTACTACCTAATACAAGAAATATTGTCCGTGTTACTTGTCTAGACGGACTGATATAGGTACTATTAACACCACAAGCTACTAAGGTGAAACGGGATGAATAGGTAAAGAATGCGAGGGGTGAATAGATGAGTAGGATTTGCAAACTTCTGTTGACCCTTTCTACTAGTATATTTCTTGTTCATTTGTACCAATTACGATTTTCAAAACAAACACATTAGGCAATTTTGTATCTGTGCATTTTATTATTTATGTTGCACAGCTCTTTTTTTGTCAGGGGAAAATCATCCTATGACTTCTCCCGCCCAGCGTCGGGCGGGAGGGAGTGTCAGACTCTTACTGGCTAAAAACCCCCCCGTTCCTTCTCCTGCTCTGGGCCGAGGTCGCGGTGCCTTATTGCGCTTACCCCGCCACCCCCCGGCTGAGAATCAACCCTATTGGGCCCCGTCTGTGGTGGTCTATTGGCTCTTTGAGGCGCGCGCGGAACGCTACGCGCCGTACGCTCGGGCCTGGTTCTGGTCGGGCGGCGAGCTACCCTTACTCGCCGTCCGCAGACCCGCGCTTACGGTGGTCGGAGATCATCTTCGAGAGATGTTGCACAGCCCTGAGTTACAGAACAACATAATACAGGCAATCGTTTAAGATTATGTTTCCTAACTTGATATGACCTTCCTGTGTCGTTTCTGGAATCTGAGTCGCACCAAACATTAAACAACTATGTGCTATGGATAATTGAATATCCTTAGTAAATTATTAGGTATATCAAATACTAACGGCCGGCTCATGTTTTGCACGGATTCCCAACTTCTTGCATTTCCCCTTTTTCTCTTCTAATTTTCTAAATTATCTTCTATTATAATCCCGTGACCTTAGCAAATACAGCATTAAAATAATTATATCGAATCAGAATCACTCTATCCATTCACGCTTGATGGTCATGGGATTTTCGGATTCATTTTTACGCACAAGAATCCAAGGATACGAGATACTACTCAAAGGATCTGGTAGCGCATAAGATGTTAGTGTCCTGCTTGGGCTGAGCATCGTGTATAAAAGTGAAAGGCGGCGGTGACCTTTCACGACCGGCCTTGGTCGAGCCCATGGTGCGGAGCGAGTGGAACAGGGAAGTCGTCTTTTCTTTCGCTGAAGCAGCGAAACTCGCAAAAAAGGAGGCGAAGCCTGTGTAAAAATTATCCTCCTCACACCGCAGACACTGCATTAGGAGCCACCCAGGGCGTCAGAGATCGCCCGAAGATCTGCGGCCACCGTAAGCGCGGATCTGCAAACGGCGAGTAAGGACAGCTAGCCGCTGGATCAGAACTAGACGCGCGCATCTCAAACAGCTACTAGACCACCACACAAAGGGCTCAACAGGGCTGATGTTCAACCAGAGCTCAGACAGAGCACAATAATGTACCGCGGCCTAGGTCTGGAGCAGGAGAAGGGGTGGTTTTTAGTCAGTAAGAGTCTGACATTCCCTCTCCCACCGCCTAAGGCAAAAGAAGGGATTTGATGATATTCCCTCCTCAAAAAAAAACTTTTACCAATTTTCTCTGTTAAAAATCGACAAACGGCTCTAGAAAGATACATTGTGTACTACATAGAATACTAAGGACAAGACTACAGTGGCGTGCAGATGCGATGATTTTGTACGACACTGCATTAGCCATTCCTACTAGATTTTTCATAAAATTAGATTTTTTTACTAAATAATCTAGTAGGCTGTACGTTGATTATAAATATGAGCGCACACCAGTCGCGGCTTTCATTTGGTTTGCCACCCTCGTTTTGAGATAAATTTTCAAGTGAAATCAACATAACAGAAATCAGAGAACATGCGTTTCGCACCTAATTGCTGTGTACCTCCGGCTTACTGCCCCACTCCTGCGCCTAACTACTGCGGGCCTAGCAACCCCATGGTGTGCGAAACAAAATGTCCGACACCAAGATGTTACGCAGTAAATCCCTGCATAAACATATACAGCTGCAACACGCAAATTATGTAACTTTAAGTGAAGAAACCTGAAGTTTTATAGTAATAATAGTGTTGTGTTGTACGAAATAAATTCAATTGGGCTACTCATATGGAGTTTTATTTCTCCTGAACCACGTAAGTCTTGTTCGAAAATTTTAATTCTGGTTCATTAAATTCCATAGTTGGAAAAATTTTTGACTTTAAGGAATCTGCTGTGTTTATAACAATACATATACCTGATCACCATAACCATAGATAAGGCACTAAGTAATTATTACAAACGTTTGTTACTTTTAAATGTTAGTACAGTAATTTGGTAGTTCGAACGTTTCAAATAGAATATTCTACATATGTATTTGCTTTCCTTTCACGGACCTTTAAAAGGCATACGAGGGGCCAAAGCCAACTCGCAGAGGCCCATTGAACAGTTTTTATCTAAATGTGATGGGAAATCAGCTGGCAACAATCCCTGTATGCACTACAAAAGTGCACGCAAGGACAATCCCAGGCTGATGCAGGACTATTGTGCAAACATATGTATTTATTATAAACTTTTTCTAGTCTCAAAAATAGAATATAATACAATATACTGCGTAGCAGCATTTTTCAGATATTGAACAAATCAAGGCCTTCTAGATTTCACTAAGTGCTAAAATCATAAATCTCCATGGCTTCTTCTCAGTTGTTATAAAATAGGTAGTATAAAAACCAAAGTATAATATTAAAATAAAATATTTTTATTTCAAAACTATCACCAACATCACTTTATAATTTGTTTCGATTTAACATGACACAGGCCACAAATCACTGTATATAGTATATCAAATATAAACACGAGCAAACATTCCTTAGCATAAAGGTACTGGTACGGGTCGCCAACAACCTGAATAAGGACCCTGAAAAGAAACATACACATGACATAAATAATAAAAAAAAATGTTAACTCTTCTATATAATAATAATACCTACGTAGGATAAGGAACAAACCTGTCTCACGTAGTTTTCAACTTTATACCGTATATTTGGAGAAGTCCTTGTATAGCACTCGGCAGGCAATCCAGTCTTTCTGGTGTGGAACAGACTGTCATGAACTATTAATGGACGACGACGTGTCACCGGATCGAGTTCACAATCCGGGCAACAACTTCGACATACTGGAAGACATGGGTAAGGGCACGGAGGAGCTCGAGGGCAAATGGGGCGCTGTTTAGGGATAATAGGTGGAGGGCACTGTGGGTTACAGCACGGCAGTACTGGCTGATAGCACGGTGTTGGCTCGGGACACGGGCAAACCTGGATGTAAACAGAAGCATATTAGACTCTTCACCCACAACTTAAAATAAGCCTTAGTAAACAGTTATCCAACTAAACTTACCGGCGGCGGGTCACACGGTGGCGGTGGAGGAGCGCAAGGTAAAACAGGTGGACAGCAAACAGGTGGAGGCGGAGGAGGTGGGCATGGTTCAGGTGGTGGACATCTCCTTGGTCTACAGGGTGGCAATATTGGCACAATAGGTGGAACATAATCAGGGATTACAGGCGCTGGGCATTGTCGGAAAACTGGACAGCACTTGCACGGTGGACACGGGGTACATGGCACTGGTGGTGGGCAGCATGGCTGGCAGCAAGGACACGGTGGAGGACACGAGTACCGGCATGGTCCCGTACCACATGGCAAAATTGCCGGACAAGTCGGGCAAAAGCAACATGCACACATTTTTTTTAGGTTTTGTTAAATATATTACTTAAAATTTACGTTTTTTGTAATTTTATGATTTTAGTCTATTTTTAACACTTTTCTTCAAACTATAATGTCATACTTCAAAACGTTGTTATGTTTTTTTCAATGTCAAAACTGTCTCTATATTTATTTTACTCTTTGGTTAAAGAAGTATTGACGCACAAACAGAAATTAATGCTAACAGCCAGACTAATCCATACTATTCCCTACATACTTTTACTCTTTCCTTATAGTATGTTCGACTCCTTTACTACTTGTAATTCCGGGTGCATGTACATGTACTACACATAATAATAATATGTCCTGTGATCTTCTAACGTATTATTATATACTTATGTAACTACAAAAGTTTGAAATAAATTTATAACCAAACAAGGATAAGTTTTGACATTACATGTAGGTGTTTGATTTATAATTTCTTACTTAAAAAGTAAATACGTAGGCAATTAACTTTTAAAACTTAATAAATCTTAGGTAGGTACCATAAACTTTGTAACCTCGTCATTCCAAGTAGGACCATAAATATATGTATGTATAGACTAAACAAGAAAAAAAACATCTGCAAACAAAATTATCACACATTGACATGATATACAAATAGATGAAATTTTGAGTTATAATTTCAAATGAATATTAAAATTTACATAAAAAGTGTAAAATCGAAATGAGTGCTCCATTCTATAGTTATGATCCATGCGTGTGCACAGGGCAGCCTTGTGGTGCTTGTTACCCCTACACTACAAAGCCATGTGCAGCATCATGTAATGATCTGAGACCATGCTCTGTGTGTCCTGGCGGTGGATGTTCTCCGTGTCCTGCTCCCGTTCGACCTTGCCCTGCTCCCTGTCCACCATGTCCAGTCCTACCTTGTCTACCACCGTGCCCTCCGTGTGATAAGGTACTTTAAACACTTTTTTTAAAATTGTTATCTCTAGCCCTAATTTTATCTTGCCATTGCTTGTCCCAAATCTCTTTATTTTCTATACCATCTCGTGCGGTTCATTGCCTCATTACTTCATTACACGAAATTATAAAACTATTTTTAGTTGCACTCCTTGCTCATCCGTCATACCAACAACCTTGAAATCAGAGTTTAGTAAAAATTCATTTCCATTTTGCTTCTCAGATATGTCTTCTGGCATTTTGTCAAAATGTTTACTTTCAAACTTTTTAATATTATTTCTAGACTAGACTTTACAAATGACGTTTTATTTCTAGCCAATGACTCCAGTGCCGAAGCCGGTGCCTCTTTGTGAGACTGTTGCGATTCCTTGCTGTCGACCGAACAGGTGTAAGCCCTGCCCATGTTACTGCTGTACGGAGCCTGGAATCTGTTGTCCTAAAAGATGCAGCTACCCAGGAGTGCCCGTCTGTGGCTGTGGCTGCTGTGGACCATGCATGCCCGTTTGGTAATGGAGCTAAAAAACTGTGTGTGAACCTTGTCGTGTAAGAATACTACATGTTTGTACCTAACTGTTGTTTTATTTTCTACTATTTTCTGCCAGCAGTTTCTACCCTAGTACCCGATTAAAGTGGTGCCTATTTGTTATTTGTTGTGCCAAACTTAATTCTCATTCATTCAGTAATTTTTTTCGAAAGAGTACCAACATGAACGAGGTTTGGATAGCCATACCTCTATTTCTCTCCAATTCTACGTCCCTTTGAAGTCATAACAATTTTTAATGTTCATTGATTCGTTTGTGAATGTTTCACATTAACAAGTTAATGAAAATACGATCTGAAAAGTGGTTTGACTGTTGAACTGTCATGGTGGCTGGGCAACAGGCTGCAGAATTAAACGTGTCGCTCGGTGGTGGTGGTCGTATCTGTTTGATTTCTACATGGGACATCTCTTTGTGTAATCCACAAATAGGTTTGGTGTGATGTGTATTTGAAATTGAAAGTTTGTTTATAAACGAGAGTTAGTTTTCTAGTGTGGGGCTCTTCTTGACAGAGTATGTGCATACTCAGCATGTGCGCTGGTTACAGCTCGTTTCCCTTGGATATCCAAGAACATTGAATAGCGAAAAGGTTTAACTTGGCTTAAGATTACAGGTTTTATGGATTAGAGGTTTTACTAATCTCGAATTGCACAACCAAGCAAAAACAAAGATTATTTTGATGCCAACTGAACTCTATAAACTATCAATAATTTACAACTGGTAATAAATGTATGACAATACAGCATACATCATAAAAAACAAACAAAAAGAGTTCTGCATTCAAATAATTATATTTGACATAACACTTGACATCACTGTCAGTTAATTACAACATTTCTATGAAAATCGTCTAAATTACAAAAAATTACAAAATATTGGAAAAATATAAAAAATTGGAAAATTTTATTACAATAACCAATAAAAAGCATCAGTGAGTGAGTATACCTACTTATATTTTATTATTACTTTCATAAAGATTAACATGAAAACTGGAATACTGGAATAAACCAAGTGTCAAATGAGTCACGAGACTCCCTACACGAATGGCGCCATCACACTTATCTTACCTACATACATACATATAATGTCTGATACCTACTGTACTCTGGTACCGCTGCAACGTATCTGGTTAAACATTTAGATCTTAGTCAACGCATCAATCTAGATATTATAAAAGTAGGCTGAAAGTCACGACCGCATTTTTCTTCAACAAATTAATAACTACTTGGTTACTTGGACATAAAGTAGTATTCACTTCTGAGCCACAAACGTGGGTGATGGATGAGGCATTTAATTTTATTTCTACCGTATTTTCAATGTTTGGTCTGGTGTTTTAATGTCCTGTAACCGGCAAACAATTTGAAGAGCCTATACACTCCTAGTTGCACATATAATTAGAATGATTAATAGTCATAAACATAATCATCCCTTGCAGATAATCCAAGAAAACTTAGCAAATTGTAAAGCAAAGTGACGACCAACTACTACAAGGGTTACGATTCACAATAATGTCCGTGTTGCCTCGAGGGTTCGAATGCTGCCGACCACCAGCTAGGTACGGCTGCGTTCGAGGAGAATACAGTGTCTACTACAAGAGGCCACGTTGCGGACAACCTAGGCCACAGCCCTTTCAGAGAGAGTGCGCTTGCTACTATTGGGGCTGCCCGAGTAACGTCCCACGGGAAAGGTAAACATCTAGTAATACTTAAATATTCATTCTTCCATCATAAAAGAGCAGGTGAGCCAGAAAACTCATTGAGTCTTTATAGACTGTCAAATATTAATGAGCATGCAAAATCTCGAAATCGACGGTAGGTAAGCGTAACAAAGTTAGTGCGGTACTACGGTGCTAATGTAATGGGGAATGGCCCGTTCAAGATTTGTTAAATAGGTTAGTTGTTATTCAAAAATAAGTAGGACATTTTGAGACTGTCTTAGATCAAACAGTTTTTCAAGTCTGAATTTATGGAATAAGGAATTCCGTACCATATACTGTTTATTTCTTCTTCAGGCCGTGTTGCTACGACTACCCCTGCAAAGCGCACTGTTTCAACCATGGTGCTTGCACGAGGCCAAGCGGTCGGTATGCGCGCACTGTCTGGTACCCTGGCGAGTGCTGCCCTTGTGTACCACCCTGCCAGGCCTTCACCTGCCCCAACCCACCGTACCATCCCTGCTGCTACCACACTTGCAATAAACACGTCTGAGATGATACTACTCTATACTATTCATCATAAGCTTAAAACAAGGACTACAAGTCAGAAATCTTATAACCTAAATTAAGATTTACAGTTCCGTGTAGTTTTAAGAATATAGATACATATAATTTTGTTTCTTTGTCTCAAAGCTGTCGCGAAAGCTTTGAGAACAGGACACAATAATACGTTTTCGTGAGTTCGTGGTAATGCAATCGCGGCGTCGTCGTTATTTGTGAATCGTAAACTGTATTGTCCAATAAAAGAAATGGTATTAAACAGGCTTTTTATTTTTGAAATGTTTTCGAACAGTTGGTCAATATTCAGATTTGTTGATAAAACACGAGACTTTGTTGTAACATTTGTTTATGTTGCAAAAAGGTTATTTAAGTATGATCTAACGAAACGTGTTAATGGTTAGATCAATGTAATTATGACCTTTTGGTAGTTGTGCTAATAAACGTAGACGCTAATGTAATTTGGTAGTTTTGCGTATCAAAAGTAACAGTGACATTGATATCAATTTACGAGTATGCAGAATATGATTTGTGAACTTCAATAACCTGTTTATAAACTTCTAATAGTATTCTGGCATGTGTGAGCTCTCCACCCACGCCCTCACACTACGGTGAGCTTCCAACATTAGTGGTTTTCGCGCGCTTTTCGCGTTCACTTGCCTTTGTACGTTTTGGCTAGAACACAACGGTTGTACGTGCGAATTTTAGTGCATCGTTTTTTTTGCGCAATCTTATTTTGAATTTGGTAAATTTTGATACATTTTTATTTTGAATTTGGTAAATTTTTATAATTGATTCACGAATGTTTGCCTCAAGATGTCAATTGTGTTTATCTTTCTAATTCTTAATTTGATTGGTAAGTTTTTTTAATACAATTATTTTATTTTTATTACATTTTTACAACATTTCATTTTTTCAAAAAATTGGTTTGCCTGACAAAATGTTGCTTACAAAAAATATTAAATTAAAAAGACTAAGTAAAAGCAATACATACCTACCTATTAAACTGAACAAAATAAATGATTCATTATTTATTTTATCATCCTTCGTACCTAACCAGGAAGCACAGATTGCAATCCCTTTGATTGCTATTTATAAATCAATCGATCATTCATCACAAAGCGTAGGTAAATATTTCGTCCTCAATTAAAAAGAAAACAAACATGAATGTGTGGAAAATTCTTAAACGATAATAACATGTTTGTCTCACAATTTAAAATGTCTACGTTATTGTCACAGTAGCGCAAAATATGTGTCTGTTTTTACGCAGAAGTCATGATCATAAATACATAATTGCATTAAAGATGCAAACTATCAAAGAACGTACTCACCATTAATCAAATACACTACCACGAAAACACAAAAAGAATATACATACTCCAAAAAAAACAAAACACCGTTGACTACCGTTTCTTTTAATAGTCTTATAGAGAGATCTGAATTACGAGTAGTAGTGTCTAGACGTGCCTGAATCCTACCTGACGGATTGTCTCCTTGACCTAAAACGATCTAGATAACATTTTAAAATGAGAAATCACCGTCACAGAATGGCTGCCACGACTGGTCAAGTTCACGGTAAAATATAAATTCATTTGCGTCGCGTAACAAATTGTAATCACTGAAGATAGCAATTTGGGTCGACAATGTGTGCATAACGTCATAGATATGTAATTTTTGATGTGTCCTACTCAAGACAAGTGTGTTTCAAGAGCGAATTAATGAAAATGTGATTTTCCGTAATTAGATACTGACTAGAATCGACATATTTATTTGAAGCTTCTAACTACAAACATGAGCATGCCAAGGCATCGGATAGGATTCTATAGGGCTGATATTCAGCCAGGGTTGCGGGGCAAGCGCAATAAGTCACCTCGGGCCCTAAAGCAGGAGTAGGAACGAGGGGGTTTTTATTAAGTAAGAGTCTGACACTTGAGAAGTCCCGCTCGATCCTCGGCGGAAGAAGCCATTTGATGATTTTCCCCTCTCAAAAAAAACTCGATATATTTTGTTATGGGATAAGTAGGCCAACGAGCACACGTATTACCTGATGGTAAGCAAACGGCGCCGCTCATTGACACCCGCAACACCAAAGAAGTTACGAGTGCGTTGCCGACTTTTGCGGATATTTAAGGATTGGGCAGAGATAGAGAAGGGTGAGGGATTGGGCCTCCAGTAATCTTACTCACACGGCGAAACACAACGCTGTAAGTGTTTCACACCGGTTTTTGTGAGGCCGTGGTATCACTCCGGTCGAGCCGACCCATACGTGACGAAGCGTGGCTCTCCCACTATTACTGTATAAGTAATGTTACCAAAAGACATTCGTTTATACATCTATTTGACAACAAGTATAATATCATTATTTTAATTAATTCCACCTATGATCCTCATTTAAGGCAATGATATAATATGAATAACAAAATTAAAATACAATACAAAAAATGTTTGACTAATTCAATGACTAGTCCGATTTTGAATTGACACTGTACCATCTCAAGAGCCACTAACTAACCTGCTCTGTTACTTAACACAAACTTCCAAATAAAAATGAACGGTATGATATCTCTTATTAAGATGTAATTTTGATTGAAGCAATTTCATAATAAACTCTTCTGGGCATGACGCTATAGAATCGTTTGAACTTTTTGTAACTTATGTGTGTATTCGTAATATCAATCGTAAACAAAATTGGACCTCATTTAGTTACAATTTTGGGTTGGTTTCTAACTGACAAAATGTAGTATCATTTATTTATCCTTTTACTAAACATGACAACAACAGCAGCACTTCATAATTATTATGATCAAGATACAAGTTAAAGCAAACAGCTTAGAATATCTACGATCAATTATTTACAAGGTAGAAAACAAACAGAATCATACTTTTAGATCATCGACCATTATTTTATACATGACATCATTTAAAGGAGATAGAAACATAAAACGCATTCATATGACGACTTAGTACCTACTGAATTATATCTACTTAAGTAGATATATACACATTTTGCAAACGATTTAAATGCAACTGCGTAGGATACTTACTTATAATTTTAATACGCGTATCAAATACTTCCTAATACTTGACGGCTACTTATCAATTTGCATTTATAGAAGTTTCTTAATGGTTATGTTCACATTAATGTGTTATTAAGAATGATACATACCGCTTGTGTACTAGAGTGGTCCAGTATCGTTATGCTTGTGTTATGGATCTAGCTACTTTACCTGTTGCGTTGGAATATACTTTTGTATAGTTACTTACTAACGTGAAACATATTAATTAGCTGATGTACGGCTACGCAACGCGCACGCTGCGCTTGTATAAGCGTCCCGTTATGACTTGAAACTGGTAGATCCTTCCTCGGTAAATACAATTAAGACGTTTTTTCAATTTCAATAAAAAAAAAAAATTATATATTTGGTCCTTAGGCATACCTAAGTGTCACTAATTACCACAAGTACTGGGAAATATCAAGTAGGTAATAAATGTATAAGTAGATAATATGAGCAAAAAATGGCTTATTGAAATATTACAAATAGGCACTATCTCGCTGATTTATTGCCTCGTTAGAAGGGAGGTTGTATGCGCAACTGCTAAGCTGCAGGTCCCATATAAAAAATCCCGATGCGTTATCTAAATTGACGATAGTGACAACAGCAGACTCGCTCCCATTTAACATTCAACAGAACTAGACCTCTGCCTACTCTTTCGAGACTTCATGGAATACTTTCATCTAAATGGCGTTATCAGGTTTGGTTCCTAATCAATATACATTGTTCAAGATTCCAACTGTGATTAAAAAAACTTCGGTCTTCTGCAGTTACTTGAAGATTTTGAAACTTACGCACCTCTATTCTTCTAAGACAGCTGCCATTTTAGCAGTTCCTTGAATCAATCTATTCGACCTCTGAACCACCAAACCTTAAAAGGATTGTTCGGCACATCTTCAATAGATTGATATGTTATTGGAAGCAGAAATATAGATAGCGGCTTCACTATTCTACTGTCAATAGAACGCAGATCTGTGCGGGTGGTCTATTAATATATAATTTATTGCTTACAATGCACGTATTGCAGTGTCTCAAATATTGCTTTACGATTTGATGTATCCTTATGACGTCAGTTGTGATGCGTAATTTATTGGAAGTGTTAGAACAAAGATGAATGTCGATTTCCGAGAAAATTAAACTAATTTAATTTATTAAAATTTACTCTTTGAATGAAAGTGCCTCTAAACCAGTGGAGAAAATCCAACTAGGCAAGTAAAAGTCGATTATTAAAGACTCGATTTCTTAACATGGTGATTAAATTCTCCGTATTAGTAGACGTAGTAGTCTGTAGTACCTATCTAGCACCCATCAAAATAGAGCAGATTCTATATTCTTGCTTTAAATTAAATTTATCTTCTTCCTATTATAATGATGGCACTTTAAAATATTTGACGAATAATGGGCATTAAGATGACAAATAGGAATCTATACCCCGTCCATGTTATTGTACAAGCCGTTTCAGGCTTTGGATGGCAGGCGTGGATTTACAATTATTACAAGTCTGAAATTGACCATCCGCCTTGAGTAAAAGTGATGACTAATGCTGAAACGTTTTCCCAGTGAAAAGAGGTCTTTGCTCTTCAGGCTACTTAGCTATAAAAGATAGGTTCCTCAACCGGAACTTAACAACCTTGACAACTTGAACAAGCGCAATGTTCTTAAAGTTCTAAATAAAATATTATTCTATAAATTGAACATGTATGACCACTAATTTGGAGTAGTCGCTTTTAGTTTCAAATCACATTTTCACCGTCCCAATTCCAATAACATAATGATGAGGTGATTTATTCCTAGCTCCAGAGAGTACAGACGTCATTCCAGAGCCACCTTTATACACATAACAACAACCAAAAATCAAATATGTACCTGCAAATGCATTGGAATGTGGGACAAGTGCCAGATACTTCATATTTCATCTTGTTATCGATAAAATGTGTTACATATTGTCTCACAAACCAAAATATAATAATAAGTGTGGGAGAGCCATGCTTCAAGCTAGATTATAGTCTGGAATAATACACAACATTTTTTATTTGCCCTACTATTCGTACCTACCTACTACATTTTTCCCTGGCACAGCCGCTGAAGCAGCTGGCAGAAACTGGTTACTTTTTACATTCAATCCCGTAAACTAACAACATATTTTAAAAGTGTTGTTTATATTTAATTTTATAGAATCCAAAATAATCTAGAACACATTTTTAATATTTTTCCCAAAACTGTTTATTTTCCAGTCCGTATATAATAAGGAAGTCTGGGTTTTTATTGGATTTAGATGTTTGTAAATAAAATCGTCGTAATATTTTATGTTTTTTTTTCTAGGAACACTGAGAGCCCGCCAGCCGGACATAGACATCAACAGGTTAGTGAATTGACGCAAACATTTTGGCACTTTGTTCAAACTTCGAACGCTAGAATTATAAAACTTCCACAGTTAATCGACTTGAATGAAATAAAAAAAACCATTTTAAACTTCTGTATCCTTGCTCTCTTAGAAGTACTACTTAAATTAAAACTTTTCGAATATTTTTTAAGATTATTTTCTAAAGTATCAATCGTAACATATCGTATTCAACTAAGATATAATAACAGCTATAAGTGGTACTAACATTTAACCATCAATAAGTGCCTGTCAAAATGTTTAAACAGCCGAGTCTTACCTACATAGGCCTTGCTGAAATAGCTATCAATTCTGCTCCTAAGAATAACTACCTAGACTAATTACAAACTCCAGTTTTCTTGTTGAGAATACTTCTATTTCCTTCGTGTAAATATTTAAAATTTTGAAACCTTGACGTAGCAGTGTAGGTACTTTTTATTTACACTCCTAATTGCGAACTCACAGCTCGCATGCCAGTGATAATTCGCATTCAGCATGCATCGTTTAAATATCTCCTCTGATTTCCAGAATACAACTTTTACCGAAAGAGGGGTTTCACAATCGACCAGCAAATTATCACAGTCGTCGTTCCATTATAACAGATCACAACAGAAGAAATGATTATGACTATTATAGCAGCGGGCTCTCCAAGTTACGGCCGACGGTGCACTTTCGGTACGATGCCTCGCCACTTACCGAAGAGAAGGCGGGTAAAGTGTACCAACCAAGAGAAGACCCGCGGCTCTTCTATCAGTCTGATGCATATATTAAAGAAACTAATAGGAAAAACTTAAACAATCAAGTATCCTCAATATACCTCGGACGGGGAGTAGTGCGCGCGGACGAAGTCAATAATAGAAGATCGTTGCCAATTCGTTTGCGAGATAATGAGCTGAACAGCATCGATGAAGGTTATTGTTATGAACACGTTTTGAACACGTAATCACATTTATTTCAATGTCATAGATAATAGAAATTATGTAAAATTGCTTTCAGATTGCGTGCGTTGTCCTCCTGACAGGACCTTAATTACCAAACCAGGTGTTGATCGTGCTATGCTACAATACCCAAGAATATTGACTTGTTCGGGAAGAAAGGCCCCAAGACACGTTCGTTTCGTTCACATGTACGGGCCTAAATTCGGTTCTTTGCTAAAAGAGGGCTCACACATGATCGTCGGACGAATCACGCATAAAGACGAAGTCAGTTTATTTTTGTATATGAAAATGGTTACAATAAATTTTCAGATCTCTCAACAAATACATTTTGTCTGTTCCAGATTCTCCAAACATGTAAAATGCAGATACACGTTCTGGTACAATCTTGTTCCGTACCCAAGTATTTAGTGCCTCATTGTGAATCCGAAAATAAAGTGTGCAACTTTACATGTCGTGATCCTAAAGCGGAATTACGAGGACAAAGGACACTAACATGTGGTGACGACATGAGGTGGTCGGGACATTTGCCTGTCTGTAACCGTAAGTCATTAATCATTGCATACTTTGTTAAATTAATTAATTAGATTGTACAGTCGCATCACAAAAACAAAGAGAATATGAGATATCTTTGCTATGAACATTAGCGCCGAGTCATAGCAGCAAGGCCGTGGGACATCTAAATGCTCTTTTATCACCATGATTCACATGACGTGTGCTTTGCATATTGCAACAATTAAGTCGGTATCATGAATGCTTCAGACTGTTAACATTAATAGAATGAGCCAAATATTGACGGGGAAGTAGTGAATTGTTTAGTTTAGTATCGTTATATAATTTCTGATAAATTATAGAAACTTGAATTATCTAGGTACCAGGTGTGTAGGGATTACTGTACTTGCCAAAAAACATAATAATGTCTGTTGTTCCACATAATATTATTGTTAGGTTTATTCAGTTTTATTTAAGCTTTCAATCAACTAGGTATATTATTAAAATTAATGGAATTTATTTCATAAAAAGGGCAGATTTGGATATACCTAGTCGTAGGTAGGAAGTATTATTGTAGGTAGGTTTATTTGAATCTTGACTCTGACCATTTTTTTGCTTATAAGTAACGGGGAAAATTCTGAATGTTTACGTTTCGTGGGGATTGGGAAGGAATGTGACTTCAATGCCTATTTATATTTCAGTGTTTACAAATATTATGTTTCTGTATTGTAGCTCGCACGTGGTGCCAGCCACCGCCGCCCCCGGAACACGGTCGTATCAGTTGCAAAGGTATGACGTCACCGAATGGTTGGGGGCTCAATGATGGCGCCATTTGCAGAGTAAGATGTGCTCGCGGTTGGAAATGGACTTCCCGGTCTATGGCAGTGTGCAGACGTGGCTCTTGGACTTTCCACCTAGGATGCTCACCCAGGCGTGCGAAATAGGAATACCTAATTTAAATTAATGTATGTTTAATAATAACTATAATTATATATAAAAGGTAGTAATAATGTAGGTAGGAATTAGTAGGGTACAAACTACAAGAGTACCTAATAACCTTTTTTTTACTATCGCGAAACCAACAAAATAAATTGTAAATAACGACTTACTCTTGTGAATAAACTGAAGCTGTAAGAGCTTCTACCAGCTTCATCCAAGTCACAACGGAACCACGTTAATAAATACTTATATGATAACTGTGACGGAACTCTTATACATTCAAGCAGCGCGTGTGCGTCGCGGCGACGCGACGGCAGAGGACGCGATGAGCGCCGAAGCTCGAACAATCAGTCGGCTATTGATGCTGATAAATTTTCAAGTAGAATTTAGCAATGTCGTGCCATATTTTTTATCTACAAAATAATAATTACCTATTGGTTTTGTAGGTAACCAGTAACCTATCCATTAAACTGTCTACGTAAAGGTAGGCACACCTACGTTATTAATCGCTAAGGATCTAGGAATAGATAAATAAGGAATAGTATTAATAAAACTTAAATACTTTTTTGAATACTTATTTCATTTCATGTTTTTATAATAAGTAAGTACATATACTTAGCTACTCGATGGTGAACACATTTCTTGTAGAAATATTCTCTATGCTATGTGATATCCGTTAAAGTACCTACCAAGTTGCTAAAATAAATGTTTTATAATATCATTAGGTATTGTTTTATTTTTACCCGACTACGGCAAAGCAAAAGGAGGGTTATGATTTTGACAAGCTATGCATGTTATGTATGTATGTATGTATGTTCATCTATTCCCTCGTTACTTCTAAACTACTTATCAGAATTCGACATTAATTTGTTTTCTATATGGGGCTACATGGGGTATCCCAAAATGTAATGTAGCGTCCTCTAGCGGACAAAACATGCAGAGTAAAACAATATATTCACGCTCATAAAAACAAAAGCTTATTTAAGAAGCATAGTGATATACATAATATTAACACGAGGGGGAAAAACAAATATGTTGTCCCCGCCTCCAGGCTTCAGAAAATAAGTAGTTCGTTTAGATGTCAATGTATACGCTTTTACAATAAAATTCCTAGGGATATTAAAAATTTGAGCCTCAATAATTTTAAAAGTGTAATCAAGGCTAAACTTTACTGTAAAACATTTTATAAACTAAAATACTACTTAGAAGATGGTCAGGCTTGGGAATGAGCCGCTGTAACTTCTGCACAGGTCATGTTGACATGTTTGTAACATAAGTTACGCTTTTTATAAACAACAAAGAGTATGTAACCACTACGTTATACAATTTGACATTACGTTTATTATTTTTTTTTAACAATGACAAACACCTATTGTGACATTTTTATTTTTATTTGTCATTTTTTATTTTATTTATTAATTTTATAATTATTTATTGACATTTTTTATTTATTTTAAAACTTGATTTTTACATTTTTAAATATTTTCATAAAACAAAAAAAAACACTTAAAAATATAATAAGCAGTATCCCACCGGTTACGGGAGGGTTCCAAGCAACCGGTGGTCAGGGTTCCAGAGAAAGGAATCTCCGGACAATGCGCGCCGTGTCTAGAAGTACAGCTTTCTGTTTGCTATGGACTGGTGGATATGATAACTATGGAAATACTATGGCCCCTGCCCCTGACCAATATTGATACATACGGATAAACAGGCAGGGGGTGACTGGCAAACTCAATTAATGGGCCCCCGGAAACGGCCGCTAGCATGTAGCGACACGGAGGCAACATACGTTGAGCTGCTTGGGGAAGGAGAGGCATCCCACGGCTATCAGAGCAATCCCGGAAGTACGGTCAAGACCCCTACCAGCACCTTACTGAGATACATCCTTCCCCCGAGTCTCCTTCAACTCCTACTCTTGCGAATCTCCACTCAAGCCAGCCTTATTGACATTATTATTATTTTCTATTATTGTTAGTGTAAGGACCGTGTGAGACTTGCCGCGCTTTTGGACTACCAGTTATCTGCGTTCTGACAGTTTGAGTACTTGCGCGACCCAACCAAATGTTCTTTAGATCGGTATTGTTCGTCGGACAACTCAGCAGCACTTGCTATGCTGGTTGCAAACTGACACTTGCGTGCCTGTCTTCAGAACGGGTCCACTTAAACTGGTGTGGTTCTTTCATCAAAAGACCACTACAGAATGAACTTGCACGGTTCTCTCACATTATGTTATTTTTACATTGTCTGGACTTGAAAAGAGACTGACCTCTGAGTTTGTTTCGGCATTTCTTCTCAGAGTAGTCAGATAGGAAATGCCGGCTTCATCTAGTTTTTTACATATAAATTGACGTGTAAAAGAGCCGTTTTATGGCCTATGTGCAAAAATAAATTCATTGTTTCAATGTTGTTTCAATAAAGTTAAGATAAATATGCCGTGTTTGGTATTATTTGAAAGCGCTTTACTTGTACATTATATTGCTAGCATTTGTTTGTGACTTTACCTGTATTCATGGGCTGATCGCTTATAATTTACATCTTGTCGTTGCTTGTCGTTCATAGCTTTTACTACCTAGGTACTTCATATTAGTAGTAACAAAATAGTACAAAATTAATAAAAAGTATAAAAACTAAAACCCTACTACGACAAAAATCGACGCTGAAAAAGTATAAAACAAGATTTTCAGAATACTGAAAGGCGTAGTCACACGTTTTCAAAGTGCAGGTATGGTAAGTAAATGAACCTAACGTAACTAAACATGATTCATATATCTTTAAATTTTGGATTTATTATTTTTACTGTTATCCCCCCTGTTACTCCCTACTGTTATAAAAAAATACCATTCTTATAATAGTGTGTTAATTACTTCTATAAAATTAGGTTTACGTCTTTTTTTAGTCTGGCAATTTACTATTTCGTTCAGAATATCTCATACAAAAGATAGACAGATAGTGTATTTTACGATCCGTCGCAAACTTAATATTATAAAAATACTTTATATTAATGTATACTTTAATTGATTATGTAGTAAAAACACTTAGCCACCAAGCGTTTTCGAGATGATTGGTTGAAATACTGTTACTGTTCTGTTTATCGGTTTCGGAACGAAATAATTTTAAAAATAGAATTCGGGTGACATTTGCGGCCGTTACATGTTTTGAGTTCGTCAACCGGATTGTACAAAGAAAAAAAGGAATAATATTTCTCTAATTGTCTTAGTTGTGAGATTAAAATGTTAACTTTGTTTTAGTAAATTTGTAGCGGACTTTACTTAATATATTAAAATACTTCGTTTACGAAAAAATGGGTATCAATAGTAGTAAGCCCAGCAATGAAACACAAACTGTTACTTCGGTAAAAAAGGAGCTAAACACTGGTGATAGTTCTGACCCACGATCTCCGACACCAGAAATCACACGAACTCCTCTCCACGTAAGTATTTTATTATGTTTTCACAGGAATTACTATACTTATAGTAGGTAAATTAATAATTAACACATGATTTCCCTCCATATTTTTTTCTTGTTGTGGTCACACATCTGATACTTATTAATAGCTAACCTTTTCCTTTTGTATTCCAGAACAAATCTACCGGTAAACATAACATTACTAAAAACGCCGATCTGAGGAAGACTTTTGAGAATGCTAATGGTGAAGAAAAGTTAATACACAATAATCCCATTCTCTCAGCTGTAATAAAGAATCACTTACAATCTTACGACCCGCGGTCCCCTACTCAGGATTTTGAACGCACGCCTATTATAGTTCCTTCAAAGGACGAAATTCCTAACGACAAGACATTGCTAAGATTGCAAAGTGAGAACTGTGCCAGTCCTGTACTAAGGACTGAAAATGATGACAGTTGCGATAGCTGCGTTGAAGCCAGTGAAAAGAGTCCCGAATTAATGGTAACACGAAACTTGTGTGATGGATTTAATAACTTTACATTAGATGACACTATTAAAGATGCTGAAGAACCCCTAGGCTCTTCCACCGCTTCAAATGAAGCCATAGAGAGCAATATGTCAAGAGAAAGCCAACAGAAACAGACATTTTTGGAAACTAACTTTGATTATGTAGAAAATGAAGATAAATTTGAAGATAGTGAAGACAATATAAATAGCATTGAAGAAAATGAAGATGAGGTTCCAGTGTTCCAGATTCTTGATAATGATCCCAGGTCCCCATCAATAGGTATTGAGAGGACTCCTATAGTTGTTGCTAAAATTGAAGACTCAAATGTTGAGACTATGTCTGATGATACTTTGATCAAAGTTTTGCAAAACACAAATGTTGAACTACGCCAAACAGGTATGAAATCTGACAAGAATGATGGACTGCTTATCTATGAAGATGATGCCCCTAAACTTAGTGATACACCAAAGAAATCAAAGTCTGCTAGTAACAGTGGCTCCCGGACACCACTTTCGTGCATGAAAAACAAAGCTGATGTTGGACACACCAGATCTAAATCAGCAAATACATTATATGATCCCAAGAAACAAAATAATGCTTTGTCCAAAATTCCTAAGAGAGTGTCACATATTCCACGATTGAAGTGTTTGACAAAGCAATCCAACTTTGGACCAGCAGGAAGCAGTGTTTCTTTGAAAAATATTTCAAAAGCCACAGCAATAGGTGGAGACTGTGAGAACACACCACCTCATTCTCACCGTGATCGCTGGGACAAGGACAACAGCATTGTACTCTGAACTTGGTTTGTGGTCAACAACAGCAAGTATGCTGCAAAATATACTTCAAACTTTGAAATTGTTTTATTATGTTTAATGTGACATGTGACTAGAATTATTACAATGCTCAAAATGAATAATTTTCTTCAAATGAGATCATGATTGGCTAATATTGTTTGAAAAATTTGACATTATTGTCTACAATAAGTAATTATTATTGATCTTCAATAAAAGACATATCTTGTATTGTTTTCTTTCAATACAAATAATTTTATTGTGATGACATAAAATACCAAGACTTGAAATAAATACATTGAGGGCAAACTTATTAAAAAGAATTCCTTAATCCCACAAAGATCCTACCCATGTGGTGATTACCACATGGGTAGGATCTTTTAGTTAATATATAAAGCTACAAACAAGGGTAGCTCCTCAGTAAAAAAAAAACTTAACCCCATCAAACAATTTATTATTTAATTATAATCACATCAAACTTTCATATCAGCATAGAGTAAATGAGTATGCTAAATGGTAAAGAATATGACTTCACAATGACTCAATACACTATGTTTTTTACATTTCATAAAGTATTGATTTGATAGTTGAAAACTACCCTATTTTATTGTGAGACTTAGTTGTAGAGTTTCATTAGGCGGCTTAATTTTATTCACTTGCACTGGTCATAAACACCACATTGCATCTTATTCAATGACTGGCTACAATGGTATATTCAATGAGTAGACAACTCTTATGTTGAGCTGAAAACAAAAATTTCACAAAAGCAGCAGGCAGTAGGTAATACAACATAGGTAGCTTACCAGTTTCCACCATTTATTTTGGATCCATTATTCTCCAACTTTGTCCTGTGCTCAAACATGGTCAGGTAACAATAAAATACTATTTATACGTTTTAAATAGTTTTAATAATTACTATTCTGACAACACCTAACACATACAATTGCATTAAATAATAATATTGCAAACGCAACACATCGCTTGGAATAAATAGCTATAATAGTTAGGTAAATATAAATATTAAAATTATGCAATCACAATAATTTCATATACTTAATAGCAGTACAGCAACGCTAGTATCTTGGAATGGTTAAAAAATTGAACACCAAAATATGGAGATGGTTTGGTAGTTAATACATAAAAAAGCCCAAAAAAATATAACAATAAGAATGCATTCCTCGAAAAGTTTACATTCCAAAAATAATAAAATTTTAAAAAGCTTTTATAAAATGTATATCACGATTTTGAGGTGATATAAGTACCTATTATTCGACACACAAGTATTTATTAGCGATAGTACCAAAATATATATTTATACGTATAGAGGAACCTCTCAGCGCCGCATTTCTTCAGAATCCTCGAAGAACAGCTATAAGCAAACATATCAAAATATCATTATTGTACATTTCTCATTTAAAGTAGTAGTGAGTTATATAAATAAATCCTAAAAGTAAAGAAATGCCAGAACTATCATTTCATTATAAAGCTTTATTAGTAGGTACAACTTGTTAAAAATGTGTTGAAAAAGGCAGGCAGATTTTTTTAAAGTCTGGTCTAACTGAATAGGTCAAATGGGTACAACCATGGGTTGTAACCATATGACCACTCGATTCCCACAATGTTTTAGATTGGTGTAAAACCCGCACAGTGGAATAAGTCACTTTAAATATAATTTCTTTTTTTTAGGTAATTTCCTTTATATGAATTGTAGTATATATATTATATTCTTATGTATCTTTATTAGCATTGGTTAAATATTTTTGTCACATTGTTCCCACATAAATGGAACAAACCAACATAATAATGTGACAAAGCATTTGATTGTGATTGTACAACCGTTTAAAAGAGTAACTATGGAGAGTCCATACTCGTTCTTCTCTGACCAAAAGGCTGGCGCTTTTTATTTGTGTTTGACGCCTAATTTAAGTAAATGATTTGATTTTATCAATATACTAAAATGTAAAATTTTAATTAATTGAGAACTGATGATTTTTTGAAGCATTTTATTACATTAAACTAACATTCGTTTATTGTACTAACAATAATTCTAAGTACCTACATCTACAGACAATTGCACAATAGATTTTAAATTGATCTTAAAGAAATTATTTGCTCAAATTGTATAAAATTTGGCACAAAAGATGGTGGTTCTTTTAAAGTAAATGATCGCAACCTACATTTTAATGCATTTCTATGGAATGTTGAGAAAGTCTCGCTATGATGCCAAACAGGCGCTACAAATATTAATAGGTACATTTGAAATGCTCATTAAAGACTGGATGTAATTGTTCCACTAACATAAATAACATTATATTTTAAACTACACACTTATTAAACTAAAAGGTAAGCTTTAGACTAGGCTTCCTAAGGCTTATTATGTAGGTATCTATTAAGAACGTCTACACAGCACATACAAACCTTCAATTATCATTTATTGATATGAGCAATTTTCTTAAATCTTTTTCGAAAATATTAAGTTTTTAGACCTTGAAATATTGGGTATAAGTTCTATTAAAATCGATTTAGATTCAAAGAATTTTTGTATTGAAAGTTTGTATGAAAACCTGTGTTAAGTAAATACTTAAAACCAGCTAGCAAAATTTGGAACTTTGTAAAAGCAATTCCACAAACATGAAGATTCTTTAAAAAATCTGCTAATATAAGTAAAGCTTTTGTAGCTTATTATTATTTAGGATTCAAATATAATATGCATTATTATACTCACTAATCATAATGAGTTTAGACACACATCAAGACACAGCTTAATTGAAAATTTGTAAAAATATACAATGCCGTAAGTGATTGCCTTCTAACATTTATAACATTTAATAGATTTGAACAACAACCACTTTAAACATGTGACATCTAAACATTTTATCATTTTGGATAAACTTGACCATTTCATGGCAATTCAATACTGGGTACTTAAACACTTAATAGGAGGTAGTTTTTTATATATATATTTTTTTGATATTGGGGCCAAATATTAGTGTTAAACACACAACTAACACCAATGTAACAATATTATAAAATGAGGATATCATTTAATGCTCATTTATTTGGATTGAGGGAATAATATCATGCTCCATGCAGATTGTTCACTTGTCTGCTTCAGATTCTGTCTCCGCATCTGTGGGTAATAATGTTAGTGGAGTTATAAACACACATCAAAAACACACCATTACACATATAATTTTATTCCTGTTACATTACAAGTTCTTTGTTTGTTACTTCAAGACTGCATTGCGATTAAGAGAAGCTTAATGGATCATTGAAAAATATAAAATAAATGTAATCATTAAAGTATAAAGTGGCTTTTGTTGTATAAAACACAAAACAGGCATTGCAAGTTCCATGTTAATAGGCTCAGTCTTGCATTCATCAAATTTATGAAAAACATATTTCCCAACTGTATTTTCCTTTATTTAAAATAACAACTAACATGAATTACCTTACAAAAGCTCTACTAGTTTTAGTTGAATAAATTTACTATATTTCACTAGAAATTGTAATTTAATGACTTCATTTCGGTATAATATTATAAAAAAAAGTCCTACATCTATCTATTACAAGAATAATCATAACAATATAATATTATTCATATCTCTAATATGTTATCTGGTTACTTCATGAAAAGGTTAATTGATAAAGCACTTTATTTGCTTTGTTAGTTAATTAATATTTCTGATTACCTCTTCTGATAACTTCACCATACTGAAAAATATGATAACGGTTTCAACAAGTGCTTTTAAGCAATAAATTTATTTTAAAATTTCATAGTAAATTTTGGTGAGCAAATTAACTTAATGTACTGGCATGAAATAACCAACTTGAAACATTATAAGAAACTTTTTCTTGGCATTATTTTCTATAATTCTTTATTTGTGATATTTTAATTCTACGTGCATACAAACAACCCTCATCTGTTATAACTTTCATAAGTCTATCAATATGATACACATAATTATATAGAATGCATACAAGTCAGGCATTCAATGATAGATGTAATAGGGATTATGACTTGCTATGCAAACTAAAAATCTATTTAACCCATTAGCTAGATAATTAAAGTATGTATACTAGACACAAAAAAGAACTAAATATTAAATCCAACATATAAACAACCAGATGTGGACTTGGAAAAAATGTAGTCGTTATCCCTATTATTTTATGAAGCACAACTATCAGGAAGTATAAATTAATTAGGTATTATGGACTTCAATATTCATGGTGTAGGTGTTGGCCTCTATATGGGCTCATCTCTTGGTTTGAAACTAGACAAGTTACCTCTTCCAACTGTAAAATTAATAAATCTTATTACCTAATTAATTTAGACATAGAATTTCATTTCAAATTTATAAATAAAAGAGGACAAAAAGCACACTCTTAAGACACATCAAACAAAAATAACATACCTCGTTCCTTTTCTTCCATGTTTTGTGAAATGAAATCACGCAATTCTGAGTATGCTTTGTCCAGATTATCATTCAGAATTATGATGTGGAAATTTCCTGGCTCTTGACCTGTAATCATTGCATCAGATGTGTTATATTTTTAACACTCATTGTAAACATACTTCTTCATTGATAATAACACAACAATATTTGTGTCTAACTTTATTAATTTCTTTCAAAACAATATGTATTCTATATCTTTATATATCATAATATTCATAATATTGTTGATTAGTAGCGGAGATATTAGAATACCTTTGGCATGTCAAATTGGATAATCAAATTATGTATATCATATGTAATTGGTAAACATGTAATGTAGGTATATAAAAAGAAGAAGTAGCAGCAACAAATAAATTCAATTAGTGTCCACTGTATTGATCTAGGCTAAAAATAATGCATTTTATGGTACTACACTAGTAAATTGAATAAATTTTAAATTTCAATACTTACTATACTGAATTAAGATAGTGTTTTTAGTATCACAAATAGTTATTAATTATTAAACAAATGTATTTTTAACTTACCAAATATGATTTCTTTGCGAGCAGTATCCAACCTCTTTTTCAAGGCTTCCTCTTCTTCTGTGTTGCGTGCACGGAGTCGCCTCTCCAACTCTTCAATGGAAGGTGGCATCACAAAGACCAGCAAAGGGTTGAGATCAGTTTTCTTCACTTGTTTAACACCCTCTATTTCAATATCCAACACACAGATTCTTCCACTACATTGCACATCATTGACTGCTTGTTTACTGAAAGATCCAAAATAGCTTTTGTTAGTAGGTCAAGCACACACATTGAGGGTAAAGGAAGATTGGGAACTTCTATTTTGTAATAATTTTTTGACCCATACTAGTCTAAGTGAAGTGAAAACAATATTTTTTTAGAAATTAAAACCAGATATAAGAAGATTCATTAAACAAACCAATGACTTTATGTATAAGAACACCTCGTTTTTGGCAATATGCCAATGCGCCCAAAACAACAAGCACATGGCCAACTGAGATTCTTCACAAAACAAATTAAATTACCTTGTTCCATACATGTTACCGCTGAATGTTGCGTTTTCAATGAACTCTCCTCTAGCTATAGCTGCGATCATTTCCTCTTTGGTGGTAAAGTGGTAGTGAACACCATTTATCTCGCCCGGACGTGGGTTCCTTGTAGTATGAGACACACTAAAGCCAAATTTATCCGGGAATTCTTTCAAAAGACGCTTCAACAAGGTACTCTTGCCCGACCCCGAGGGTCCGCACAGCACCAAAGGACGAGGGCCCTTCTGCACCATTTTTGATAAAACTGAGAACAAATAAAATAAATAGTTATTACAAAAGCCGCATAGGTTAATATTAAATGAACATATGAAGAATTATCTTACATCTGAATAGAATCGTTGTGGCAAATTTAACAAACTATACGTTTATATAGATCTTGACGACTTATCGACTCGATAATAATTTATTAGGTAAATGGGACTAAATCCGTGCTCACATGTATCGCGCAACGAGTTGTATTATTTCTGTTCTGTGTTCAATGCAATGTTCCAAATTTTTGTGATTGTTAATTGTCAACTGTCAAACAGAGATCAGAGTAGAGTGGAACGAAACGAACCGAAATAAATTATGAAAATACTGCAATTTTAATGCAACTATTTTTTGCAAACTATTGATAGTTGGTAAAAATTTACTAAATGTGGGTTTTATTGGTTTGTAACTAGATAAGCTCCAAACTTATTGTGTATCTTAGAATTACATGGAATACATGAAGCGATTGTATGGATGACCTGTGAAAGGGAACGTAATCGTTAAACTAAAAAATATATCTATGGATATTAGTTGCAATACGGATGAGTGGTTTTTATTAATTTAATTCAACTTAAGTCATTCCTGCCACAAAAATTAAGATTTTAATATGATTAAATAGACTGTTTTTTCGATTTGTTATTATGTTGAGAATTTAATCTGAATAGCATAGACAAACAAAGGAAATGCCAACGAATTTTAGTCAAATTGAGAATTTATAAATTTTTAATAAACTCTGGTTACAAACAGAAAAACATACAATATATAAATGATTTAAAATAAAAACTATATACGTAAAGATTCAGTTTAAAGTTAGTGGATCAAAAGTCTAAGCTATATCATTTTAAAAGAACTACATTTGACTTCCGGATTGCAGCTGGGAGCCAATCATAGTTAAGATAACTTTAACCAATAGCAACAAACTGTTTTGGTATTTGAAATATCAGCCGTTAATTTTTGAGTGGAGTCGAGCAAGCGTAGCAAAAATTGAGATCAAAAGTCAAAACTTTTGGATAGCAGTGGCACAGCTGGGTGAAATACAACGACTGTGCCAGGATAATATCATTTGGTGGATCTGTTATTGAATTGTAGAAAAGACAACCAAGGAAAGACATTAAAATGGAGATTCAGATGAGGAGACACCGAACGGTACAAATTACCAGTCAAAATAGTCGTTATTTAGTTGTTACTTCAAACAAAGTTTTGATTTTAATTAATTTTATATTTTTATCTAACAGGCGCAGCTCCAGGACCAGGAAAATATTTATGCTTTAAAAGGCAAAACAAATGTGGCGATTCCAGTAAAAAAGCAAGGTTTGACTGTGCGTGGAGCGTTGGGGGATATAAACACCAACGTTCAAACTCATCGTGAAATCGGTGGTAAAGTTGCTGTGGCTGCTGCTGAATTTGAGAAAAAGGCGACACTAAATCGGGCAGCCGTTCGAAGGTAAAGTTTCAGTTACCCACTTCACAACAATATTAAGTATTATAATCAGCTGGTCATTTCACTTTGCATGGGTTTACTTGTAACGATGTTATAAACGTTTGGATTATTGTTTTTCACAGTATAGTTGTTGTTATTGTGTTTTTATATTGTATCACATAGTTCAATGATCAATCTTGCAATTTTATTATATCAGTCAAGTAGGTAGACGTAATTTTTTTCTTTTTTAGTAATTACAGTCATGTTCAGTCAAAAGTGGACACTGGTTTGGCAGCTAAAGTGGCGCCGGTGGTGCAGCCATCATGTAGACCTCCACTGCGCCGTGAGGAGAGCACTGCTGGTCTTGCTGTCAGAGCTGCTGCTCGCAATCGGGTAAGCTGAAATTATTGTAATCACTTAAGTTTAGGGGCAGGCTCAACCTCACAATAGGCCTGTTCATATTTAGTTTTGTTTTCTATTCCATACATGCTTTGGTATTAATAGTACAACATGTTGAAACATGTTTAAATTCTATCCTAGCAAGTCGATCTTATCAACAAAACTAGGGCAAGATTTGTGTCAACGTATATATGCAGTCTTGCTGTCTCTCTTACTTTTGATGGGTATATCCAACACAGACCTTTTAGCCCTGATGGGGTAGGCACATTTGCGCATATTTGCATATAAATTATAATGCACCAAAAACTAAGAACAACCACTTTCACTTGTAATGTTATGAGTCTCATGTAAAAGGGGATGGGACTATTACCCCATATTTCAGGCACAAAATTCGAAACACTGCTATTACTGAGAAATTTTAACACACTGATAGACTCAAATAATTCTCTGCTTGATCTCAATGCCTGTATCAAACCTTAGACCCTTGCTTGTCTGTTGCACTTGCCACCACTTGACAGTAGTCTTGAAGGTAGAAGTATAATATTACAAAGTAAGTCTTAGTGAACCAGTAGGTTCTAATATACCCAAGGCACCAAATGTATTAGTACTGTTACGTGCCTGACGTCACGTTCCTGACTATGCGGGCTTGGGTTACGGGATTGGATGAAATGAAACACTAATACCGGTTTTCAGACTTTCTATTGCACTTAAGTTACAGCGTCCACGGAGTTAAGTTATCGGCGTTCCTCTCCAGCAGAGTCCGGCCGACTGACACAACTTTGCCGTTCACGCTGACTTAACTCACTTAACTGACTGCACTTCACTATTTCACTGCACTTCACTATTTCACTCACTTTTCTTCTTTCTCACTTCTTCCTTTTCTTCCGAATCGCTTTAGACTTAGAACTCAACTGCCAGCGGTGAGCCGCAGTTCCGCTTATATACCCCCGGTCAGGTTCTGGAACATTCAATTTCGTTATTCTTTTTGATCGTCATGCCTCCAGAACCTTCCAATAATTTCGTTATTCATTTTTATTTATTCTCCTTCTCGCTCTTTAATTTTTCATTTCTTTCACACAAATAATTCCAGAAAGTTCGACAAAACTTCTATAAACTAAAAAACTTCATGTTTACGGCGGGACTCGAACTCGGGGTCTCTGTGGTGTAATCCACACGCCTTACCGATTACACCAACTCGTGTTGACAATTCACGACGAAATTTACAATCTCTAGGCAACGTTTGACAACCATCCATTGACGTCATGATGTCAAAGAGTTTGAACCACTTTTCCGTCACACTGCCCCCCTCTTAGATTCGCTCGTCCCGAGCATCGTTGCTGCCGTAATACCTCGCCAACCTGTCTATATGGACAACTTTCAAAGGGCTCCTTGAAGTCTTCCGAATTCTGTAAGTAATGTCATTGATCTTCGTTACTATCTCATAAGGACCTTCCCAACTCGGTTGAAGCTTCGGAGATTTTCCCTTCCTTCTGACTGGATTATGGAGCCAGACCAATGACCCCTCTTCAAACCCAACAGAATTGGCTCGTCGATCATAGCGCGTTTTTGCGCGATCACTAGCTTGAAGACCGGCCTCTCTGATCTGCTCGTAAATGTCCAACATTTTTGCCCTTAACTCGCTTATGTAATCGCTAAACTCAGTGCGAGTGTCGCCAGGTGGACAGCCCGATACAAGATCTGCCGGTAATCTCAATTCCCTTCCAAAATTTGCAAATGCAGGCGTCTTTGCGGTACTTTCATGTACAGCAGTCCGATAGGCAAGCAAGAAGAGAGGTATGTAAGTATCCCAATCTCTCTGATGGCTGTCAACCACCTTTGCTAAATGTCGCTCCAATGTTTGGTTGAAACGTTCGACCATTCCATCTGACTGTGGATGATAAGAGGTCGTTCGAGTCTTATGGATTCCCAAAAGTTTACAAGTTTCCTGAAAAACTTGGGATTCAAAGTTCCGTCCTTGATCACTGTGCATCTCCAAGGGCACTCCGAATCGGGTGAATACCTCGTTTACCAACTTCGTGGCTACAGTTACTGCCTCTTGATTCGGTATGGCAAAGACCTCCGGCCATTTTGTAAAATAATCCATAACCACTAAAACGTAGCGATTGCCCGAATCAGTGATTGGAAATGGTCCAGCGATGTCTAAGGCTATTCTCTCCCAAGGCATACCAACATTGTAGATTTTCATCGCCCCCCTGCTTCTTGTTTGTGGACCCTTGACAGCTGCACAACTAGTGCATTTCCGGCACCAATCTTCGACATCATATTTGCAATGCAACCAATAAAACCTCTCCTTGATCTTCACCAAAGTCCTCCTAATTCCCAAATGTCCTCCAGAAGATCCATCATGGAACGCTTTTAATACATCCCTTATTTTTGAACGAGGCACCACCAATTGCAAATGCTCGTCCTTGCTGTTTGTTGATTCCCATTTCCTGCACAGAAGTCCGTTATGCAGCGTAAGGCTTTTCCACTGTGCCCATAAACCTTTCGTTACCGCGCTATATTGGGCGACGTCACTCCAACTTGGCTTGTTACCACTTCGTAGCCACTCCAGTATTGGTTTAATATCTGCATCTCTTTCCTGTTCTAATTTCATCGCATCATCTCCCCATGCCTCGTCAACAGTATCAGTCCTTATCACCTTAAGAAAAGCAGTTTCCTTCTTGGCACAATGCTTGCAATCTTCCACGCATGGGCGTCTCGATAATGCATCTGCGTTGCCATGAATTCTTCCGCCGCGATGTTCGATTTCAAAGTCAAATTCCTGAAGTTGTTCCAACCATCTGGCTACTTGACCTTCGGGATCCTTAAACTGAAGCAGCCATTTCAAAGCAGCGTGATCAGTTCTGATCAAAAATTTCCGTCCCAGTAAATACTTCTTGAAATGGTGCAGAGTTTTGACTACGGCCAGCAATTCCCTCCTGGTCACGCAATAATTCCTCTCCGGCTTAGATAGTGACTTGCTGAAGTAAGCAATAACCTTCTCCTGCTCACCATCGCGTTGTGAAAGGACACCTCCTATTCCAATATTGCTGGCATCCGTATCTACTACGAATATTCCTTTCGCGCTGGGGTATCCGAGAATTGGTGTGTTACAAAGCCGTTCTTTTAGTTTTCGAAAGGCTTGCTCACAATCCTCGTCCCAGATGAAGGCACGTTTCTCCTCTGTCAATCGATGCAAAGGCTTGGCAATGTCCGAGAATCCTTTCACAAACCGCCGATAATACGAGCACAATCCAAGAAATGCCCGAACTTGCGTTTTGTCTTTAGGTGTTGGCCATTCCTTAACAGCGACAGTCTTGGCTGGATCAGTCTCAATTCCTCTCTCAGAAATAACATGTCCTAGATAATTCACTTCGCGCTTGAAGAAAGAGCATTTCTTTGGACTCAACTTTAAATTTGCTCCACGCAGCTTGTCGAGTACCTTTTCCAATTTTCTTAGATGATCGTCAAAATCCCGTCCAACAATGATGATGTCATCGAGGTAAACTAGGCAGGTTTCGCCCAGCAGTCCCGCCAGCACCTGTTCCATCAAACGCTCAAAGGTTGCCGGTGCATTGCATAATCCAAATGGCATCACCTTAAATTGCCAGAGTCCCTTCCCAGTTGAGAATGCGGTCTTTTCCTTGTCCTTGGGATCCAAATCCACCTGCCAATAGCCACTTTTCAGATCGATCGTTGAAAACCATTTCATGCCACTCAGTGTGTCAAGTGTGTCATCGATTCTTGGTAACGGGTAGCTATCCTTCTTGGTTACATCATTCAATCGTCGATAGTCTACGCAAAACCTCGTTGAACCATCTTTCTTCTTGACAAGCACGACAGGTGAACACCAAGGGCTAGAAGAGGGCTCTATCACGTCATTTTTCCTCATATCGTCAATCATTTGTTCAACCTCTTTCTCACGAGCGAATGGTATACGTCTGGGCCTTTGACGAATTGGCATTGTATCACCTGTGTTTATTTTATGCTTCACCAAACCAGTTCGGCCAATATCACCATCGCTTCTTGAAAACACATCAGAGAATCGAAGAAGTAAATTTCTAGCTTTCATAGTCTCCACTTTTGTCAGACTTTTGTTTTCGTCTAAGATTTTCGTTACAAAGTCTATTCCCGTACTGTCCTTCTTCACAAGATTTTCCGAGCATTTTCTTATCCAGGCCACTTCTTCCAATACGCCCACAGGCTCTCCTTCTTCAATCGTAATTTTTGAATCACTGAAGTTGAATACCGGAATGCGGTTGACATCAGATGACCCCACGACAGTTCTTGCCGGTAGCCATGAGTTTACGTGTTCCGATTTATCAATCACAGCGCACCTTCGAGGTAAACTTCCTTCCCTCCTCCTAGGTAATGCAATTGGTACGAGAGTCTGTGATTTTGGTGCAAGAACAGTTCTTCTTAAACAGCAAACTTTTCCCAGGGTTCCACCCTTCATCGGAATTTCCTCAGTTCCACATAGTAATACTCCAGATTTTAAGTCGATGTTACACTGGTGCCCTTGCAGGAAGTCAAGTCCCAGGATGCAGTCATCCAGAATTTCGGCCACAATAACCTCATGTCGATAAACACGTTCCCCAATTTTGATTGTTACATGCAGTTTTCCACTTATCGGTATGCACTGGCCGGTAGCTGATTTCATTCGTAGGCCAACAATTGGTTTAAGGTGTTTCCTGATGTTGTGCTCGAGCAGCCGAACATTTATCACCGTCCTTGAAGCTCCAGTATCTAATGTTAGCTGACTGTTTTTCCCATTTACTTGACCGTCTATCACCAGTGTATTTCCATCGTTGGTTTGCTTGATGTAGATTGTTGGGGTTGTTCCACTTCCAGCCAGCGCCCACCCCGCAGCCTTGGCTGGATTTAAGTTTCCCTGCTGGTCAGAAGTTGAGACCGCCGCGTCCTGGCGGTTCATCTTCTTCGGGCAGTCGCTCCGTATGTGCCCACGCTCTCCGCATCCATAGCACATGAAGTTCCGACGGCGTGGAGGTACCTGCTCCGTTGTCGTCATTTCCCGCAGACCTAAGGTACGGGGGTTGCCACGCACGGCTTCCACTTCCAATGCATGGGCCAGAGCTTCTTTCATGTTCTTGTGATGGCCCAGATGAACAGCAGCTCGTACTTCGGGGTCCCGAATACCGTCAATGAATGCTTGGAGAAGCGTGCCTTCAATCATTGACGGAGTCGACCGGAAAGCTCGACGCACAAGTTTCTCGATTTCCACGGACCATTGCTGTAGGCTCTCATTAGCACGCTGAGTACGCTCTTTTAATTGCGCTCTGTACACGTGCTCGAGGTGGCTGTCTCCAAAACGTGCCTCCAGTGCGTCGAGGAGGGCACTAAAGCTGAGATTCCCACTTGCGCCGATAGCTTCCAGCACTGAGAGCGCTTGATCACGGAGGGCCAGGGTGAGGGCTGACTGTGCTTCCTTCTGAGTCCAACCATAAGCCTCCATAAGTGTCTCGAACTGTAGCTTGAACGCGGTCCAGGATGTTGTTCCGTCGTAATGGGGAATCTTGAGCCCTTTCGTTGCGCTTGAGGCCGCATTTGGGGCGTCAAAAACGGCTGCAAGACGGCTTCGGCTCTTCAAAGGGCTTGGGCTTGTCATTTCCTGCTTGATTTTGGAGATCTCTTCTTCCACTCTCTCCTCTATGGCCATGACGCGATGTTCCAACTTGCCTAACCCTTCCTCCACTTCCTGTACCCGTTCGACAGCCTTTTGCAGTCCCTTCGTGAAATCCTTATGCATCTCTTTCAGCTCCCGTAGCTGCTCCGCCTGGCAGTGTGCTTGCTCCCGTAGCTGTTCTGCCTGACAGCGTGCTTGCTCCTCTTGGCGGCGCGCTTGCTCTTCTTGGCGGCGCGCTTGCTCTTCTTGGCGGCGCGCTTGCTCTACTTTCAGCTCCCGCAGCTGTTCTGCCTGACAGCGCGCTTGCTCTTCTTGGCGGCGCGCTTGCTCTTCTTGGCGGCGCGCTTGCTCTTCTTGGCGGCGCGCTTGCTCTTCCATCATTTGCTGCAGCTGTAGCAGAAGATCCACCTGCACAGGCTTGGCTTCTGCATCGCTGGTTTGAGCTGCAGCGCCCTCTTCCCTCACACGCTGCGCTTCTGACATTGAACGGGTACTCACTCCTCTTACGTCCTGCGGCACTAGCGGCATTTTTATCCAATCCCACTTCTGACACCAAATGTTACGTGCCTGACGTCACGTTCCTGACTATGCGGGCTTGGGTTACGGGATTGGATGAAATGAAACACTAATACCGGTTTTCAGACTTTCTATTGCACTTAAGTTACAGCGTCCACGGAGTTAAGTTATCGGCGTTCCTCTCCAGCAGAGTCCGGCCGACTGACACAACTTTGCCGTTCACGCTGACTTAACTCACTTAACTGACTGCACTTCACTATTTCACTGCACTTCACTATTTCACTCACTTTTCTTCTTTCTCACTTCTTCCTTTTCTTCCGAATCGCTTTAGACTTAGAACTCAACTGCCAGCGGTGAGCCGCAGTTCCGCTTATATACCCCCGGTCAGGTTCTGGAACATTCAATTTCGTTATTCTTTTTGATCGTCATGCCTCCAGAACCTTCCAATAATTTCGTTATTCATTTTTATTTATTCTCCTTCTCGCTCTTTAATTTTTCATTTCTTTCACACAAATAATTCCAGAAAGTTCGACAAAACTTCTATAAACTAAAAAACTTCATGTTTACGGCGGGACTCGAACTCGGGGTCTCTGTGGTGTAATCCACACGCCTTACCGATTACACCAACTCGTGTTGACAATTCACGACGAAATTTACAATCTCTAGGCAACGTTTGACAACCATCCATTGACGTCATGATGTCAAAGAGTTTGAACCACTTTTCCGTCACAGTACTTTAACATGCAAGTGACATAATTAAATTAGGATATGCTTTATTCCCTTTTCATTTACCTTATATCATGTGCTTTGTCCTACTGTAAACTAATATACCTGAAAGTTTATCAGCACAGTATAAATTACAATATTCTTCACAGGCAATCCTAAAAGATGCTCAGAATAAACCAACTGAGATCAAAGAATCGATAAACATATATATCCAAACCAAGAAGGTGCAAGAATCTAAGAAATCATCTAAGCTGCCAACATTGAAGGAAAACAAAGAAACCAAAGCCTTGAAGCCCATTCTCAAAGAATCTACTGAATCACTTGGAAAATTGAAATTAGAAGAAGCTTATGAGAAAACTTCTATCATAGACAAGAAGAAGGTTGAAAGCTATGCAGCCTTATTGAACTCTGACTTAAATGACACACCCCAACTGCCTGAAGATATTGAAGATATTGATGCTGGAGACAATAATAGTCCACTGCTTATGTCCATCTACATTAAGGATATTTACAACTATCTGACTGAGTTGGAGATCAAGTATCCTATTGAAGTAGACCATTTGAGGAAACAGGTTTGTGCTGGTTTATTTTGAATTCAATTTTATTATTACAAATATCCTATCTACAAGAATCCACCCATAAGACGACCCACAGACCCGAGTTTTAAAATAGAACAACATGGCAAAGTACCTGTTTTAAGAAAATTGAAGAATTGAAGGCTTAAATAATATTAACAGAAGGTAGGAATGGACAAGCAGGTAGCAATATTTTTACTTAAATTGTTGTTATTTTACTTGCAGACTGTTATAACTGGTAAGATGAGGGCAACTCTTATTGACTGGCTGGTGGAGGTACAGAGGCAGTTTTCTCTGGTGCTGGAGACATTCCATTTGACTGTTGGAATCATTGACCGATACTTACAGGTAAATAATAGATTATTTAGTTTATAATGTTCTTTGTAATAAAAGTTCGACATGTATTATGGCTTCATTCTGTACCTACAACTTTCATATTGTTAATTTTAGGCCGTACCAAATGTTCAACGGAACCAGCTGCAGCTCGTTGGTGTGACTGCGATGTTCATAGCCAGCAAGTACGAAGAGATCTACGCTCCTGACGTCGGAGATTTCGTGTATGTGACTGACCACGCATATACCAAGGCTGACGTGTTCCAGTGTGAGAGGGAAATCATGTCTAAACTGGGCTTCTGCCTGGCTAGACCTATTCCACTTAGCTTCTTGAGAAGGCAAGTTCTTTTGTCTATTTTTAGTACTTTAAAGTTTGGTTGGCTTTCATTAATATCCAACTTATAATTCTATCTGAATTACAATTATACTTTAATATCCTAATTTTTTAATTTCATTTATCTTTGTTTTTTTCAGGTTTGTAAAAGCAGCTCATGGAACTTCCAAAAATCATCATTTAGCCAAATACTTAGTAGACCTCAGCCTTGTAGAATATACAATGGCGCACTATAGGCCATCAGAACTAGCGGCGGCAGCTATCTGCCTCTCTCTGCATCTATTATCGGGCAAGAAGCTTGAAGAGGTGTGGACACCAACACTGTCTTACTACTCAGGGTATAGCCTAGAACACATTGACCCCATCATTAGGAAACTTGCCAAAATTGTTGTTAATGTTGATAACTCTAGATATAAGGCTGTATACAACAAGTATTTGGACACATCATTAGCTAAAGTATCCAGCCTACATCAACTTAGAGGAGAAGCAATCTATGAACTAGCCAAGATCCCATCGAGTTCCTAAGTTTATGAATATGTTATTGTACAGTCACAGTATGTAATGTCATGTGACAAATTGTGTGTTGACTACGTTTTGTAAGCAGTGTTCTGTGACGGCGGACTGAATTTGATATAAGGTTTGTTTTAGGTACCTGGTTTGTTGCTAGTAATTTAGAAGTAGTTTAATTTTTAGACGTAATTTTGTAATAATGAGACTAATTAAATGTTGTTGACGAGGTAATTATGTGTATTTATATTTTCCAATATCTTGAACAGTTTTTATTATTTATGTTGCTATAGTTGCCAATGAATTGTGTATGTAAAGCATGGAGCAACTGCACATGTAATTTGCTATTATTGACGTTTTAATTTATTGAGATTTCTGAAATCTCCCCATTATTTTTGATTCTGATTATAAACATGGTGGTTTTCACGCAAAGAAAAAATATGTAGATTTTACGTAGCATAATATTTCGTTTTAGACCATAAACCTGACTATTGAAACAGTAAATTGTAATGACATTTGATACATTCATCCGAATCACCGTATTTTAATCTGATATAAAGATACTAGAATAATATTATATTCTAATTATTCACAGGACGCCACAGTAAGATAATTGTATTTCCATTATTACGATATGATATAACAAAAATTTTTTGGACTTAACACTTTGTATTGATATTTTTAAGATAAGTTTGTATAATTGTATTGTGATTGATAGAATATTTTGATTGAATGTAATTTGATAATCCTGTGATTAGAATATATGATGTAATTGTTGATTAATAAATCGAGCTTTATAATAATTTGGTTTTTATTTTGGTTGATAAGTGGTTGATAATGATAGCAAAGGGTGTGATAGCGACAACCATTTTTTATCCTTGGGTGAAATGGCGATCATTAGGCTTGGCGAGAAACTAACAGGAATCCTAATCAAGCAAAACTGACGCCAAGCTGCCTACTGCGTCCTGTACGGGATTCGATTCCGCTCAGATCTCATATTAATAGGTACCTATATGATCAAAAAATTGCTAAAATAATTTTTTGTGAATGGGAGCTTGTTAGATGTTACACCGCCGTGTCCTTGGGGAAGTGATCGGCGGCGGCAACCTCTCGCGCCCGGCCTTAGTCGAAGCCATGGTTCGTAGCGAGAGGAATTGGAAAGCTCTTTCTGCGAAGCAGTGATGCTCGCAGGAGGCGGAGCGCGTCAGGGAACTATCCTCACGTCCCAGCCGGCAGTAGGCGACATTTCGGGGCTCGGGGATCGAGAGACTATCTCCGGCCACCGTAAGCGGGTCTGCGAACGACGAGTATGGGTTGCTCGCCGCCCGACCAGATCCAGGCCCGAGCAGACGGCGCGTAGCGCCACGCGCGCCTCAAAGAACCAATACCCCAAAACAGACGGGGCCCTATAGGGCTGATGTTCAGCCGGGGCTGCGGGGTAAGCGCAATGAGGCACCGCCACATCGGCCCAGAGCAGGAAAAGGAACGGGGGGTTTTTAGTCAGTAAGAGTCTGACACTCTCGCCTTACCCTGGGCGGGAGAAGTCATTGGATGATTTTCCCCCGACAAAAAAAAGGGTATCACCTATCTACATACAAACTGCAACCAAATTGGTTTTTGGCCTGCCAGCCGTTTTCGCGTGAAAGGAAAACTACTCGGGTCTGGTTCTTGTCGGGCAGCAAGCTACCCTCGACCGCGACCGTGCTTAAAGTGGTTGTATTGGAGATCGTCGCTCGATCGAGTTTCGCCTGCTGCCTCGTGCACTCCGCCTCATCCTTTGCAACCATCATTGATTCGCAAACAGAGTTCTTCTTAAAGTCTCGACTAAGGGCGGACGCGAGAGCTTGCCGCCGCCGATTACTTCTCCGAGGCGGTGGTCAACCCTGGCAGGGCACACCGCTACCGTATGCTCCACCATGTCCTCAGGGCGGTCTTCACAGTGACGACACCCGGGCGTTTTCTCTCTCCGGATCCGACACAGGAACCTACGGAAGCTGCCGTACCCGGTAAGCCGTCTGGCGAAGTGTGAGGACGCCATTGCCTTGGATAGACCTCTCTTTGAGAGGCTGGTCTTACCGCTATTGTCCGTGCAATGATGATACTTAATATCTCTACTATAGGATTTTATTATACATATAAAAGTTTGTCTTAAAACACTCTATCTATTAAAAATAACATTAAAATCCGTTGCGTAGCTTAAAAAATTTACGGATACATAGAGTATTTTATATTAAGTATGTAGTGATTTACCACGATTGCATGTCCGGACTAGGTTTTCACTTAAAAGGCAAAATTTGTGTCTTATTCTCATGCCTTAATATACCTAATATAAATATCAACGGCTTGTTGTTGATTCACAGATAATGTGTGGGAAAATAGAAAATAATATCTATTTAATAACTAACAGTACCAGTATCCACATAAATATTACCTAGATAAACAGTAGGTAATTTTGAAGTTTTCTCATTGAACTGAATTGACAGTTTAATTTTAATTAAAAATTGTTTCCATACTCTGTGAATCCAAGACGATTCTTATGAAGTTTTAAATTTAATCGATGCCCTGATTTAATAGGAAATGAGAGCAGATTTCCTGAGCTTAATCTGTGATCTTTTGACGCCGCCGCAAGAGGAACAAAATTGACAGGTCTCATTAAAGTTGGACAGTTTCTAATGGTAAAGTAGAAGATATTAAAGATGATTGCTTCGACACTGAAGGTTTATTGTAGCTTTTTATAGCGCTCATTAAACAGTTGTTTAATAAGTTTGAAATACGCTACAATCTTACTTTCGAGTTATTGCGTTATGAAAATGGCTCATTGGGAAAATATATATAAAATTTATTTTTTTTAAACACTGCCCAACGCTAGGATTTTCTACTGTGTTGTGGGTGCGTACAATTTCACATACACATGACACCCAGACCCTAAACAACAATTTGTAGATCACACAAAGTGTTGTTCCGTGCGGGAATCGAACCCGCGACACGTCGCACGGCAGCGAGTTGCCCAGCCACCGCGCCAACCATGCAGTTATATTTTTGATACCTGCGTACGCATGATTTTTTGGCAAAAAAGTGGAGAGCAGCCAAACAATAAAAAATGATGAATGATCTATCTACAAGATAGTTGCACTATCCTATACAGATTGCATCACTCTACGAAGGTTGAGGAGATCGTGGAGTAGGTACAACTAGACCTTGAGGCTAGGGAGGTTGGAGCCGCGTTACGACACGAACTTCAAGTCGTTCGTGGTGCGAGTTCCGACACCACCACCAGAACTTCCTTAAGGAAGAGTTCTGGCCAAAGGATATTGTGTATCGCTGGTTTCGTGGCCGCCTACAAGACACTAGTTAGCGAAACACGACGCCGATACTTCATATGCTCTAGTATTTTTAGTATACTTAGTAACTAGTTTTAGTTATTATGTAATATTTATATTAATTTATAGTATTTTTAAGTTTTATATTATTGTATGTTTATATGGGCTTTCGATGCCTGAAATAAATGGATAACTAAAATAAAATATATCATATTTATCATAATAACAAAAAGAAAAGAAGTATTGTGAGCCTGAAAAATGTTATGTACTACATACCTACTTCTTACTTAGTAGTTTTTAAATTAAATAATATTTCTAAGGCTTGTTTGTAAGAAGGAATGTTTATACCACATTCCAAAAAGAACTAAAATGTAAAACGGGCATTTTTAAATGGTGGTGCTGTGGTGTGTCCTGTGTGCTATGTCCAGTGTTGGCGGACAGCCGGCCGTGCTCGGACACAGCGTTTTCCGCAGCGCAGCCCTCTCCGCAAATTCGAAGAATTTATTAACGCTTGGCGGTTAGCCGAATCGTTTTTGTTTCACCTTTTTCCACTGACCGTACTCTTGCTGCAGCGAGACTAGTGTAAAAACAGAAAAATCTGAAGGTTTTTTTTTTATTTCAAACCGTTTTCTTTTTGCAAGCTTTCACGAGTTCGTTCGTGTGTTGGTAATAGCGTATGCAGATGATATTAGCTTTTATTAGTAAGAATTTATTATTTCTCTAATGAAACTCGAAAAGTGCATTGAAATGGCACGAAAAATAAATTTGATTTTTTGAAATTGTTTTGTGTATGTAGATACTGCTCAATAGAGTAGTTAGGCCTGTAAAGTTATTAACTGAATTTATCGTAAAGGTAAGTGCCAATTGGTGCAAACTCGCACTAAAGCGTCATGGCCAATAAACAGCGCAGTTATCTAGTTGGTGGCGGATTGTTAATGCAATAGCCGGTCCATGTTGTTGCATTTTTGCAACAAGCGCGCTGCGAAATGTATGCACATAGTCGTTGTAATGCCGCGAAAGCCTGTCTCGTAAATATTTCGCGCACGCAATTTACAGCTTTGGGAATCCTCTTAACGGAATACAGGGGCAGTTAGTGAGCCGGGGGTATTTATAATTTTAACGACGACCACACTGAACCGCTATTGTTCTTTAGATTACTGCTGGAATACACATTTATTTGCGTCATTAAAATATTTTCTATACAAAGTGTTTATTGAATAGAGCACTAGAATATCTACGGTGAATAGTCTGGCAATTTTATTTACTTACTTTTTATTTACCTACATATTTACAAAGACGTTACAAGAATACCTGCAGATGTAAAGGTACCTACAGATAAGCTTTCTTGTTTATTTGCTTTAAAATGGAAGTTAATAGGTAGTTTAGTTTGATGGAAAAATAACCTCCCAAGTTTATGTGGGTAGTTCGATAAAAGCGTTAAGCGCCTACGATATCAGTGGGTTGCTATCCGTCAGTACCTACATAGTTAATACCTTATTTCTTTGAGTTATGATTTTAAAACTTTATGATGATGGTAAAATTGGCTGCACGGTTGGTGCGGTGGCTGGGCAACTGGCTGCCGTGCAACGTGTCCCGGGTTCGATTCCCGCACGGAACAACTCTTTGTGATACACAAATTGTTGTTCCGGGTCTGGGTGTCATGTGTATGTGAAATTGTATGTTTGTAACCGCACCCACGACACAGGAGAAAATCCTAATGTGGGGCAAAGTTTTTTTTTTTAATATGCAATTAATGGTACAGGCTTTATTAATACTTAATACGCGTTGACTTTAATCAGCCATTTAATTGAAATTCCTCAAATATTAGCTAGTATGCTTATAATATTTTGAAGAAAGAAAAAACATCAACCGGTTATAGTAGACAATGGTACATTATCAGTCAGCTTAGCTGGTCACCCCGAAATGTGAAAAATAAGTTGTGAGTGAAATGTACCTACTTAATTACTTGCTTAGCTGATGAGTTTGACATGCAAAATTTTTCATTCTCGGTTTTTTTGGAGAGACTTTTAATCCATTTTGGATATGGACCGACATTTTAAACATTTTGTAGTAGTTTGATTAAGCGTGGTGCTTGGTGTATTAGTAGTAATTGCTATATATTTAAGTATGTGGCGTAAATCCATGTGTTGTAAGAAAATATTCTAAGCGATAATGTATCCCGTCATAAAACTCTCAACACAAAAGCAAAACAAGAACAAAATGAAAAATACAAAAGTGCAAACTTCTTGAACTGTAGATATCAGCTTAAATATCCTGGCGTTAGTTTTGTCTGGCAACAAAATGTTTCATATTATTGTCGTGTTATACTTTTCTACTTAACGTCGAGTCGCAAGTGTGTCGGTGTCTCGGTGTCTCCAAGTAACGGTGCTTCCGTTGTTTCGCCAACTTTTAACGAGTTTGTCGGACACGGCTGGAAGTGCAGAAGTGCCGCCGCCGACGACTCGGTGGCGAG